TTTCTGATGCTGAAAACATGAAGAGGGAAGAAGGAAGCGTGCAGGAATTACATGGAGAAAATGCTACTGTTGAACAGGAAGCAGATTGGGCTCAGTGATCGGTACCAGTCTGCAGCTGGACTGACTCAACCTGGAGAATACTACACAGCTTTCAGTGTTGGATGTCTCTGTAGTGATTGGACTGGTCCACTGCTGGGGTTCTATTTCACTAATCCTGTTTCAATTATCTCTTTTAAGCAGATCCTCTACACAATAAAAACAAATCAGGACAGATTTTATCGGTTTGCAATTAGAGTTTCTAATCAGATTATAATAAATGAATAAATAATTTAATTCTGCAGAGTTTTGCTTGTTTTCAGTTCATCAACAGAGAAAACCCACAGATGAATCCTGTAACTGAAACAGAACATCTGGTAACATTTCTTCTAATTTTTAGTTTTGCAAGCAAAGAACAGCAGAGAACCACGACTGTTCTCCTTGAGAACGATGTTTCTGCAGCAGGTCAGCAGTCGGTTCAGATGTGTTGCAGGGATTCTCCATAATGACACAAAATTACAGTTTTTAGTTCCTCTGGGGTCTGATGCCAGGCTTTATGCTGAGTGCACGGTGTCAGAGGTGAGTGTTTAACATGATTACTGCGCTCTAATGGAGGCAGGGATGAACTGAATGCACAAACACACACTGCTCCCTCTTTCTCAATGAAGGATAAATGAATGAACATTTAATTTTAAGCTTTAAAGAAGGTAAAAAGTTCAGAACTATTTCCACTCTGGCCCCATTATGGTCAAACATGAACAACTGAAAACCAAAATAAGCTTCTGGATGATGATCAGAGCACCTGAATAAATCAGCTTCTTGTCAGGAACGTGGTGTGGTGGTGGACCCCAGGATGCAGACAGGCAGGAAGCAGTGTGGCGTGGTCAGTGAACAGATTTAATAAATAAAACTCACTTCAGCAGCTGGTGGCAAAAACAGGCATGGACAAGCAGGCAAGATATGCTTCGCATGATCAGATCACTAAGAACTATGAAGACTAAGAACAGTGATAATGTTTCTGCGAGGAATGAACACAACAGCAGTGTATATATGGAGCATGGTGCAGGTGGACCTGATGAAGCTGATTACCGACTGACTGAGGCAGGGAGTGAAAACGAAACACGGCTGGAAAAAAACAGAAATTCAAGAACCTAATCAGACCTAAGAAACATAACTGCAACAGATCATTAACCCTAAACTACAGCACCACATCCAAAACACAACACCTTGGAAAACACAATCATAATAAGAGAAAAACCAAAAACCCCCAAATCATGACACTTTTAGCTTCATGGCTGCACTAGATCCTGGATATTACTTAAAATATTTAATCTACCAGAGAAAATTCTGAAAAAGCAGCAAGTTAAAAGCAGGAATGGTTCAGGATGCAATCAGAAGCAGTCTGGTCCATATGCAGACCAAAGAATTAAAACTAAGTGTGTTTTAACCTCCATTTCAAACTAACTCTGGTCTCTTTCCCCGTTGGTGCGGCTCGTTTAGATGTAAACTCAGCGATCGCTCTGGGTGCGGACCAGAACAACCATACCAAGACCCTTTGGAGGACAGCTGGCCTCGTTTATGGTGCGAAGGTGATCCGACACAGCTACCAGGTGATCCAAACAACATCCCATAGCCAGGTTTGTGTTGCATTGTGGGATTCGGTAAACAGACTAATGAACAAAGGCGGCACATCTTTTTAATAAAGCTCCAGGCAACCTTCAACACATCTTCTCAAAATCATTTGGAATAATTTTACCTGAAATAAACCCAAAAAGAGACTCACGATATGAATACATTCTCCGGGTTTTCTACCAGCTCAGAACACAGAACCTGCTTCTTGTATTTACATTTGGTTCTCCCGCCCACGCACATCGGACTGATAGACAGACTAATCGTTTTCACCCGGTTTGTATTGACAGGTTCTGGTTTGCTTGTAGTTTTCTCTGTGTGAAAAGAAACCGAACCACTGGAAAAACGTGACAAATCCAACTGATTCGGACTAAAAGAAACGAACTGCAGAGCCACTACACAGTCCCGCATGTGTCAAGTTAAAATAAAAGCTAAAATACAATCAGAAGTCCAGATTATGCTCAGAAATCAAAGCCTTGAAAGTCCAAAACAGAATCCTGGACTGTGTTCTGTATTGAGGATGGAGCACATAGCAGAAACCGAGCTCAGTACAGGTGAGGACTGGACGGGTCAGAATCCTCTTAGAAGCTCAGCAGCTGCAGAATATTCATCATCTGTGCTGGAGGATGTAAACCGTTTCCACCTCAGCTCACCAACGTTCCCTACTGGATTAAAAACATGAAGGAACAACTTGTTTCACATACGGACCAAATGATTAAACATCAGAACCTCCATTTCACCTCGTTCTGCAGGAGAAATGATCTGCCAAGCAGAATTTTATCTTTTTAAAAAAGTTCTGTTGGACTGAAACCTTCACAGCACAATAAAATTAATGAAAAGCTGAATATCATCATTTGAGCCTCAGTCTGTCTCTTCATCTTGTTATTTAAACCAAGTTAGAGCAGATTAAACTGACATGATTAGAACCAGAACATGATCCGATGTTGAGATGCTGGATTCAACACAAATATTTAATCATCATCGTGCAGAAAAGGAAGCACTTGGTGGAAGGCTAGAGGTCTGCTCGGTAATCCACACAGCGAAGATGATTAAACATTCAGTCCAGACCAGCTTTTGTTTCAAAGCTTCGAGCAGATCCGGCGAAGCTAGGTCCGACAGGTCCGACTCCTTTCAGAGGGGTTTTATTTAATCAGTCCCAGACGAGCTGCTCCAGTGTCTCAGTGTGCGTCGCTGCCGGTTAGGAAGAGTTCATTATTCAGAAAACTCCTCTTCCTCGTCTTGGGGCCGCTCTCACCGTCCTTATTATTCAGCATCAGCTCTGAAATAGTTACCTCTCCGTACACCGCCTTAAAGTATTCACACCGCTTAAACTATGTCACATTTTGTCACATTTCAACCACAAACTTCAATGTTTTTGTTTGAGGTTTCATGCAACAGACCATCATAAAGTGTTGCTTAGTTGTACTTAAAAATCTGAAACATAGTCAGAAGTCACCTAGTCAGTCACCAGAGTCCAGATGTTCTGTTTTTCTGAGGTTCTCTAAAGAACCTCAAGAGACCAGAACGACCAGAACAACCAGCATCATGAAGACCAAGGAACACAGGTCAGGGAAGATCTGATTCAGTTTAAAGCAGGGTTAAGTTCTCCAACAGTTTCCCTACATGCATGTAGAAGTTGGTTGTTGTAGACCCTAAAACAGGATGAAGAGCAGCGGTCATGAAGATGGACCATAAGATGGAAAAAGGCTTCAGCAGTTTTCCAGAGCTCTGAATGTTTTTATCTTCAAGAAGATTTTCGGTCTCACCGGTTACAGTTTCTGGAACGGGGGTCACAGCATCAGCAGGTCAGACAGGAATGCATCAGAAGAATCCCCTCAATTACACTACAGTCCTGCTCAGACACGGACACTGCTGGTCCACCTGAGGGGGTTTCAGCTGAACAGAACATACATCTGACTAATACAGATTTAATATACAAAACAAACTAAAGTTTCAGTCCACTTCCACCTCAGGAGGTTAGTGGTCTTCAAAATAAAAGCCATACAAAAACAAACTTCCTAATGGTTAAAGTGTGTGCTTCACCTCGGTGAGGGAGATGCTTTCCAGCACCCCCACAATGCAAAATGCTTCATGTGGAGCAAAGCTAAAACTGAACCCACCATCCCTACAGTGGGACATGGTGGTTTTAACAAAAGTTAAACTAATCAGTTAAAAATCACAATGTTAGAATAAATCAGTGTGGTCTTTCATCAGAACGTCTCGTTTTACTCAAATTTTCTCCAAAAATGAGAGTTAAAAAGAACTTCTGGAGAAAAATGGAACCAGAGGTTAGTTTGCTTTGAAAAAAGTCTGCAGGTTAAAGGTCAGGACAGGAACAGCCTGCTAAAGTTCCACAACTTCTTGTAGATGTTCCAGCAACCCAAAAACAGAAGGTTGTGAAATGGTCCAGGACTTTTCAACCATGGTTTCCAAACCAAAGCTTCAGGAACGTTAAAACAACCAAATGAAGATAATTCTCCACGGTTACCGAAAGGTTCCCATTAGGACAGCAGTGGGAGAACCACAACATCCAACTGAAAGCTGGAACGTTCATCCAAGCAATAGCTAAAGTTCCTGGAATGTTCTTGGTACCAAAGGAAAGGTCAAAGAACCATCAGGAATGTTTTCAGCATGGAAATAAATGAGGTGACACGATTTCCATTTTTAATTCAACCAAACAGGAATATTGTGCAAAGTTTATCCAGCAGGATGCTCCTGTTCCTACAACTAAAACACAAGATCCAAGAACGTTAGACATGAAGCTTTGAAGCTTTTCTCAAAGGTTATTGCAATGTGTAGATGAAGAAACATAATACGATCAAACAGGAACGTTCTGCAAAGATTCCCTCTCAGATTCTGGATGTTGGGAAAACATGAGGAAAACACTTTTAAGATCCAAAACATGCAGCAGAATATTTATGTCAGAAAGGTTTCCTGGTGGAACCCTCAGAGGAACTGTAGTCAAGGTTTTATAAACATCTCTGCAGGTTTACCAGGAGATGGGAGATGTTAGGAAAAGGTTGGATAACATTAGGAGAGTATACTAATGTTCTCCTGTCATGTGCAATGCATCTAAATAAGTTTCCTTTTAGGGATTCCCAAAGGATAACTGCACTGTGACAGTTAATATAAACAGGAACGTTCTAGAAAGGTTGCTGCAACTCAAAACTAGTGTGAAGGTTGATGGAACAACAAAGCAGCCAAACCAGGATGTCATCTAAACATTTTTTATCTTACAGCTGTTGGGAGGAGCTTGGAAAACAACAACTTACAACCAGAGACTTTTTACCGTATTGCAAACACAAAACACAAAGGACATGTCTGAACATGGAGGACGGTGGTGCAGCGGGTAGCACTGCGCCTTAAAGCAATAAGGTCCTGGGTTCAAATCCCAGCCTGAGGACTTTCTGCAGGGTGTTTGCATTTTCTCCCCATGCACAGGTTCTCTCTGGGTACTGCAGTGTGTGCATTGTTGTTTGTGCTGTGATGGACTGGTGAACTGTCCCAGGCGTACCGCACCTCTGGCCCAGCGGGGATAGGCAGGACCCCCCCAACACCCTGCTCCTGTGACAGGTTCCCAGATTATTTATAATGGAACTGTTAGAGCAAACTAAACAGCTTTCTGATCGTACACATTTTAAGAACGTGAGAAGAACACAGGATGAACCACAGCATACAAATTACTGATATGTTTGGATGCCCAGAATTGGTCAGCTCCTGATTTTTCTCTTTCCTACCTCCATGCATCAAATTTAACACACCAAATGTAAGCAATCAAATGTTTTAGATCAGTTTCAGATTTCAGTTTGAATCCCGTCCAGCGGCAAACCGGAGAGCTGCAGAACAGAGATGAGAAAGTGATGAAGCGATACAAAGACAATGGAGAGAGATGGAGCCAGAGAGAGAGGAGGGGAGGGAGGGAGAGATGGAGCCGGAGGAGAGCAGGGAGAGGAGGAGGCAGCGGTTTTAACCAGGGAGCGTGTGGCCGGCGAGGCTGTTACCACGGGGATCATTGCCATGACCGCCACCACGACAACCACTAACGGGACCTGAGAGGAGGCGGAGCACAGGGTGTCAGTTTGATGACGGGGGCCCACAAGCAAGGCATCCATAAGGACGAGTTAGCAGAGACAATGAAAAGAAAAGGGTTTGAGTTTAAAACGTCACCTGAGAGGAAGTGAGAGAGCGAAAATAGGAAGAGAAACAGAGAAGTGTTGGATTCTGCAGTTTGTCTTTTCCTGCTGGGTTTAGATCTTCATGCTTCAGATACAGTAAGTCCGCTTGGTTCCACCTGGTTCTTAACATTTGTTTAACATAATTTGATCTCAGAGATGTGATGAGGAGTTAAACGATGAAGGTTTGAGTTTCTAATCCAGATGTAAATCTGCTGCTAATATTCAGTATTTCTCCTTTATGCAAATAGTTAATGTTTGCCAATATATTCTGTCACTCATCGCGAAAAGCTTCACTTCCTCTTCTCTTCTAAAGAAAACATTGAACGTGCCGCATGCTCTCAGAAACGTCCTGTAAACGAAAAAGAAATTCAGAAAATGACCAGAAGTTCTAGTTTGGTTTCCAGCAGTCAGATGTTCAGAAGTTTAAAGTTTTAGAGTTTTCTCCAATGATGCCTTCATGGGACTTCAGGTGAAACTATGGTTTTCCATACTGGGTTTAAATAACGAGTCTATCTGGAGAGTCGTTAAGCTCTGAATGCTTCCTGCCTAATTTAACTCAGGCTGTTTCTTTCATAGTCATTTCATTAAATTAGCAAAGAAACGTTTGTACATTATCTGTAAACCATGATAAAATAGCAGAGCATCAGCTTATGGTGGTTCTTATAAAGATGCAGATTAATCCTGAGCTAACAGAAAACACACGAAACCCGGTAGATCATAGAAATAGTTTTAAATGTACTGATGGCAGATATGCCATCATTTATGTGTTTTCATGCAAACGATATTGTAAAAAAAATGACTCCTCCTGTGAGAGTTAAGTTGAAGCAATAATGCTAGTATGGCTGGGATTATTCCTTCATTGGTTTGCTGAGAGCATGAAGAGAGGCATTGATCAGGCTTTAAAATGTGACGCCGTGAATTTCAGCTACAGATCGCCCACCTCTGATATGATTGGTTAGCTCTCTGGATCTAATCTGTATAAGGTCTGAGGTTCTGGAAGCATCATGATGGCTGTGGGGCGGCTTGGTTCTGTAAAAAAACAATCCCAGGTCAGCTGTAAATATTCAGTCATACTTTTGGCTAAATGGAGACATCTGTTAAGCTTTGTTTCAGACCAAGTTCACACAGGTTTCATCCCAAATGTCTCTGGAAACATTTAGACTTGTGGGACATTTCCAGCAGATTCAGCTTAGATCTCCAGACCTCCTTCTCCAGTTTGTCTGAGGGAATTTCGTGGTGGTCCCATACCACCCGTGATACAGAATCTTCATCAAAGTTCTTTGGAGACCAAACCCAAAAGTTACTCCTATAACTCAGGAACGTGTCCATAAGTTAGAGGTTTCTGATGGTGGAACAGTTCTGTGACTATGCATGAGGCGAGCTGTTAGTGATGCAGCTTTCTGCTGATTGGTTTAAAGTGTAGAAGAAAGGTCAGCGGATCAGATGTATGGATCCAAAGCTGCTCAGACACATGACAGATCGGAACACCTTGTTTGTTCTGAATTAGAGAACGCAGAAGACAGAGAACGGTTTCCTCAGTAATTTGACCAGACTCGGAGTGGAGGTGAAATTTTTATGATTTGCATTTAGAGATATTTCTGCTCTCAGTCGAGCAGCAGCTGTCTGACTTCATCTGAAAAAGGGAAAAGATGGAAAATCCTTCGGAATCTGCTTCATTTCTTAATCTTTGTGTTTTATTTAAAGATGATCTTCATCATGAACTTCCTCCTCATTCTTCAGCCTGGCATCTTTTTCTCTGACCTGAATAGTTTCTTTCTTCATCTGTTTACATGTGCAGTCTTCTAAAAACAAATTATCTCATATTTTCACTGCATCCTTCCTTCAGCAACATCCTCTTTTTCCTGCATCTTTTGTCTTTTACAGGATCTGGGAATTTTTCTCTCAACCATTTCTGCATTTCTGCATTATAATCCCCCAAAACTTCACACTTTCACATTCAACATGCTGTTACAAAACTCAACAAACCTTTAAATAGTTTCCATTAAGTTCTGCAACCAAATTATGTTTCTCAACCCAAGGCCCGTGGGCCAAATCTGGCCCTTTGCCTCACTTTAAGTGGCCAGTAATACTTTCCAAAGAAATGAAAGGGTTTTAATATAAGACCTGGTGGTGGAGAGATTTCATTCTCTGGTTCAGATGATGACATAGTAACTTACTTAGAAACTGAATCCCAATTAGAGAACCTTGTTCACTGAACCGCATCTGACTGAAAGGCTGAATAATCACCGAACAGACACCCTGCTGGTCCTCTGAGGTGTACTTTTTTGGGCTGGACCATGTAGTGGCCGGATTCTAACCCTGAAGCAATAGTCAGGACCTAATTTGGTCCACACGCCGACCGGTGACTAGAACATAAATCGCTCAATCTCGAAGGAGCTAAAACATCTAACATGACCACCAGATGGCAGAATTGGTGGCATCAGGCAGTTTGCCAGAGAATAAGTCCGTCATCAGTCAGAATGATAGCCTCCTTCACAAAACCCTTAAAGCTAGGCCCCTTCTCACCATCTATGTCCATTTTGTGAAAGGACCAAGATGTCCTGGGGTGCTGCAGTCAACACGATGCTGTCACGCCTCAGAAACACTTAGCGAGATGGTCACAGCCCGGTATCAGTTGACTTGGTTTGGGCTGAGCTTTTTCCATAATCAAAGGAGGCGTTGCAAATGCTGTGCTCGACCACCTGGCCAATGCAGAAGACAGCTGGACTGGTGCAGATCGGTGCTTCATGTTCTTCATTAGACCGGTGAAGACAGAACAAATCATTGGACTTCAACCAAGGGTGTTCTCTTCAGTAGCAGTTATACTGGTATTTGGTGTGGACTCTTTACAACCCAGTCCAGGATGATCCACCTTGTATGGAAGCCTTCATGGTTCCAACATCAAGCCACTGGGAGACTCATTGTTTGGGCCAGTTGTTGGATGCTCCTTAACGTTCCAGCTCCTTGTAAATCTGATGATTAACATCTCCATCCATGCTTTACATGTGTATCAAACTAGATCCAAATCAGGCCATTCCTTCTTGGTTCTGAACTGATAGGTCAGTGAGTACAACAGTATCATTTCATGATGGTGGTGGTCTGTAGCATCCTGTCTATCTTCAAGAAACACTTGAAGACCCAGCTCTTCAGAGAGCATCTCCTACCCTTTAGTTCCCCACCCCCTCTACTATGCCAGCTATCTATTTCTACTCTGTTACCTTTGACAGAACCACACCAGTGGTCTTCCTTCAAAGTAGCTTATTGCTAGCTTTGATATTAACAGCATTGATATCTCCTCAATGATGAAATCGTCTGACAAACGCAGAAACATGAACATTTATTCTGAGATTGGGCTCAGTTTGACCTAAAGGTGAATGTTTTGGTTGTGTCGTTTGCATTTTAGTAAAAACCGGTTGAGAATAAATGAGTCCTGCTGGTTCCTGCAGCAGTGACCATGAAACATGTAGATGTACAGACCAACATGCTTGAACCATCAGGTTTTCATGTGTCTGAAATGTTTTCAGCAGCTTTAATAACAGAGCAAATATCATCCCACCGAATCCAAATTAAAGACAAACAACTCTGACTGGTTACCATGGAAACCACAGCAGTCTTAATGTCACAGAACGGGACGGTTTTCCGAGTTGTGTGACCTTTCACCTCTTTATTTTTTTCTGCTGGTTTCTCTGCATGTGAAATCGGATGAATATGAATGAACGAACATTCGGGCCACATTATGCTCAGTCTTTTTATTGACATTCAGCACACTTCATACAGAGTCTGTTTGGCAGCCGGCTGCACACAGCGCCAAACCCCGCCCCCTTCAGCATGAATATTAATGAGCGGATGGATGCGATTGAGAGGGGCGAGCCTGAAAGGACACATCAGGATGACAGACGGCAGTATGTGTGATCCCCTGGCCGTTGGGAGCGCGCACCCGCTGCTCACAGGACCGTGACTGCACAAGTGACGCATAAAATATCATTAACGCACACTTCATATAACATATAACACCTGGCCATATGTATGGAGACGGGAAATATTTAGCATTGGTCTGAAGATGGGGAAGATATCTGGCTCAAAATCCATGTTCCTGTTTAACCCATTCAGGAATTTTTCAGAACATAAAGCATATTTATAGTAACTTTGTTCAGCTATCTAAATGTTGCAAGGATTTCTGCTTCTTGTTGAGACCCTGAAATGTTCTCTGTTAATGAAATAAATGTCT